CTGCAAATATTCTCCCTTGAGTAAAAGGCCTTTCACTGGATCGATGAAAGGATACGCTCTTTACAAGGATTGCATTCATCTCTAATCACACATGGCAAAAAGCAAATGAGAGGATCGTTTGAGAGGGGTGTGAAACAAATTTCCTCTTTTACTTTAAGTTCGATTTCCGCTTCTTTTTATGAGCCTGGCTTTATTTTTGGAGTTCATGGGACATTGGAGTTGACTCTGAAATTATATCTCCTACTTGTTTAATGGCATAAAGAGTGCTTATAGCTAGTCGCAGTGTTGTTGACTCCGAAAATGGTCTCGCGGCTAGCCTTTTTAAGGTCATAAGATCTTTACCGCAAAGAGTCATGACCATGAAGCTGAAAGAAGATGCTTCAATCAAGAGTTTCTGGAAAAAGTCTTCCTAGAAAAAACCGTACCAGTACTTGTCGCGTTTTCCAGAGTCGTATAGCTTCACTGTATCCCTCATCTTTTGTAATTTTTGTAGAATAAACACTTCCAATTTCAATACCCCACCTTCGTAAAGATCGTCTTCCACCTAAAAACTGTTCATGCTTCCGATTTGATTTCAAACAAAAAGCTTACTTTCATTGCGGCATAGAACCTTTTGCGATTCTTATCCTCCACTTTGTATACAGCTCCCATTCCACCTTCGCCCAGTTTGTCAATTACCCGCCATCGCCCTCCAACGATCTGCAAATGCGCCTGTGTAGACACAGTGCCGCGTCCAGTATTTTTCGAAGGGAATGGGAACCTTTCCATGCGGGAAAGCTCGAAGGTCTTCCTTTTCTCCACCCATTTTTTGAAGCAACCAGCGCAAAAGGACGAACAATAGTAAATGGAACTTGCTAGTCATTCCTTCCGTTAGCTTACAGTAAAGTGATAATGGTTCCTCATAACACAAACTACGCTGCTAAGTCAAGAGGTACGCACTTCGCAAAAGCAACTTTGAGAGCAGGCATTAACCAAGGCTGCTCCATCTTTCTGAAAGTCGAATTAGTTAAATCATTAAATAAACACTATAAAACACCTGCAATCAGTCAACAGCCTGGATACATCACTTATATTGAGTGCGTTGGTCACATTCGCAAACTTCATGATAATGGACCCATTGTTCAATTCATGCTCTGAGAGCCTCTAAGAATATTATGCCAATAGCGGATTTCTTATGCTGTTTTAGATAACAGTAATTGGAACTATTTTCTAGAAAAACAAAATTTTTGCCATCCAAGATAAGTTTACTGTAAGACTAGTTCTCATTTGAAGTATACAAATTGAAAATTTTTCTCCCATCTAAACATATTTTAAGGCGTGTGGTCTAACAAGTGTTAGATCATCGAGCCCTCCAAAAAGATTCTTCACGTTAAAGATGTTGGCCAGGCCTCGGCACGAGGTCTCCGATAGGACCTTACGAGAACGAATCCCCGCTTGAAAGTCCAGGAAA